TACCCATTGATACAACAGATTCAAAGAGGTTACTGGAAAGGATGAGCACATAATGAATAGCATCCATTTTATCCTTTATAAAAACCAACTTTCCAACTCCATAATATGAAAAAAATTCCCACGCCACTACACTTCCACCTCCATATTTGACAGTTTTGTCAATATGTTGAGACAGAAGTCCTGTTCCAGGCTCTCTCCACTTGTCATCGGAGTAAAACAAGTTGAATTTCGACTCATCACTGAATATGATGGTTTTTATTCTCCAATAAATAACCACTTCTAGGCCAATTCAAATCGGAGCTTGACAGTTATTTTACTCAAAAGTGGTTTCTGAATGGGACGATAGGCAAACATATCCATAATATTCAGTATATTCTTAACAGAAACGTAAGATATAAAGGATCCTGTTTCTGTTAAGACAACTGATTAAAGTTTTCTTAGTGATTTGTTTAGGATTTTCTTTAATTTCCTGTTTTATCACGTTTAAAACCTGTGGAGAAGAAACTTTTATCTACCATTTATACCGATATGATTAAAAGTATGGTATTTATCATACTTTTGCTTGGTACGAACTACTGCAGAGTGGCAAATGCCAAACATTTTGGCCATCTTCCTCGTCGAATGACTAAGCTTGAGAGTTTGAATTACTTGAGCTCGAGTCACATTATCAAGTTGCTTAACAATGGTTGTCTTGATAAAAGCAGAAAACCAATTTTAGTCAAGTGGTGCGTTTTTTTTTAACAAAAATCTTTAAAAAATCACTATTTTCAGAATGATATATGGGGATGTTTTTCATATTATGGAGTTGGAAAATTGGTGTTTATAGAGGATAAAATGGATGCTATTCACTATGTGCGCGTCCTTTCCAGTAACCTCTTTGAATCTGTTGCACCAATGGGTTTGAATCAGTTCATTTTCCAGTAAGACAACAAACCCAAAACACACATCAAAGCTGGCATCAGAGTTTTTGAGAGGAATAAATGTGAAATTATTACCTTGGCCTGCTCAATCACCAGACATGAACCCAATTAAGAACTTATGGCCGATTCTAAATTCTAAAGTAGGTATATTAAAGCCTGAAAATATCAACCTACTTAAAGATGCAATTAAGACGTCTTGGGCAGAAATAATCATGGATACGAGCTATTGCTCTTTATAAAGCCAAAGTTGGATCAGCAAAATATTAAATGACTAGTGGTGCGTTTCTTTTAACCAAAAAGTTTAAAAAATGATAAAACAGCCCAAATTAAACTTATTTAAAAAACAGAAATGTTAAATAATTCAAAAAAATAGAGCTATCTTATATATAATATCGACTAGTTTTAATTTTTGTCATTTTGACCAAAAAGAGGATGGTGCTTTTTTTTAACAAACTGTATATATGTATATATATTGGAATTTTAAATCCTACCAGAAGACGACGGCGGATACCCCTTGATCTGCTGTTGATGGCTTTATTGGGGCATTCTTGTTGGCGCTGTTTAGGAGGCAATCTACCTAGGTTCCGGTAAAAATATGCTAATCTTTCGTCCGTCGTTGATGGATATCATCAGAGCGGGGAGGATATCATCTCTACAACCATATTCAGGCTAACAAATCAAGAAAACTCATCGGCTCATCCATAAATGCTGTATATATACTTTGATGAAGTGTAAAATGATTTGGTTACTTAAAGTCATTGTCAACCTCGAAGCGTATGAGTGTGGCTGCTTGTGTGCGTATGTGCATGCATATGTAACGTCTGTAAGTTTCTCTATTCTAATTACTTTGAGCCATCACTGCTGGTCTTGTACATATGCGAAAACAATCAGGCACATACACATGCACACACGCACACACAGTCACATGCGCGAGGTTGACATTTACTTGAATTAACCAAATCACTTTATATCTCATCAAAGAACTTAGATATAGAGTGTATATACAGCTTTTAGAGGTGAGCAGGTGATTTTTGTTGACTCGTTAGCTTGAATATGGTTGTAGGGATGATACCCTTCACGTTCTGATGATGTTCGTCATAAAACGAACGAAAGCTTAGCACGTTTTCATCGGAATCGAAGGGGATTGTCTTAGAAACAGCGTCAACAAGAATGATCCACTAAAGCCGGTCGACGGCTGATCAAAAGGAATCCGCCGTTGCCTTTTGGTGGCATCGACTTTAGAATCTCTTTACCAAATATTTTCATTCATTATTTCAATTTGGAAATAAGTGACTCCTCGAAACCCAAATTTTCTTCGTAAAAATGATAACTTTAGTCGCATTATGCCTTATTCAAGATCATTCACGTGTCAGAAATGAGGGAATAGAGAGTTATCTTGATGTGTGGAAAGAGAAGACAGCAAACTCTTCAGCACAGTTTAGGGTCTTAGGGGCGGTAGCACTAATGGACGAATTCAAAAGTTCCTCTTGTCTTCCTGTCCTCTCCTGTTGCCAGGCGAAGAACGCGAAACCGGCATTCTGGCCCAAATGAGTCGGCTCGAAGAGATCATCCTTTTGGCGCACTGCCCCACTACAACGTCGCCTCAGCCTCGCCTGGAGCACCAGGAAGGCGAGTTCCAGCCGCCAATAACATCATCCCCTCTTGAGACCAGCGAGGGACTCGAACGGCCCGAACCCAGAGCCACTGGACTGCAGGTCACCTCGGCCGGACTTCATGCCGCCTTTGCTCAACTCTGCAGCCTGCAGAAGGCCAGCCTGACTGGTCTCTTCTCGGGATTCCTGGGCGCCCCATCCACCGTCGACGGTCTTCTGGAGCAGCTCTTCTGGCTCGAGCATGCAGCGGCATCCGGTTACGGTGACGTCAGCAACGGCGAAGCCGCCCCTACGGCTAGCCTCAAAGAGTCCACGGGCTAGACCGTAAAAACATGAGGCTCTTCTATTTCTTCTGACTCTTATCCTTATTCCTATTCTTAATCTTATTCTTATTCTTATTCATATTCTTATTCGTATTCGTATTCGTTTTCTTATTCTTATTCTTATTCTTATTCTCATTCCTATTCCTATTCTTATTCTTATTTTTATTCTTATTCTTATTCTGCTTGTTATTCTTATTCTTATTCTTATTCTTATTCTTATCCTTATTCTCATTCTTATTCCTATTCCTATTCTTATTCTTATTTTTATTCTTATTCTTATTCTTATTCTGATTCTTATTCTTACTCGTATTCTTATTCTACTTCTCCTTCTTCTTCTTCTTCTTCTTCTTGTTCTTATTCTCGTTCTTCTTCTTATTATTCTTATTCTTATTCTTATTCTTATTCTTATTCTTATTCTTATCCTTATTCTCATTCTTATTCCT